CTACTACCTACTACTACCTACCTACTACCTACTACTACCTACTACTACCTACCTACTACCTACTACTACCTACCTACTACCGACGACGACTACTACTACGATGGCTCCCTGAGCCGATAATTCAGGGGGAGTGGACCTCATGAGTGGTATCTCATACCTTCTTGACCTTGTTGACCTTCTATGGGGGGGGCAGATTAATCCGGGGTTGACATTAGATAGGTAGATAGACCATAGATAGACCCTGGCGTGTACAGCTTGTGAATCTTAGCCTTTCTCGTGGGAATGTTTGGGTAGACTCTTTGACCGAGGGTATCCAACAGGCACATGTGTGTGTGTGCCCATTCGGGATGCCCTCCGAACAAGCACTACCCGAGCCTTTTTGCGGGTTAGCATGAAATTGACGGGATTGCTTGGTCCTGCCCGTCACCCAAAATCAGCTGCTTAGGATCAGATTTTGGCCCATGCCCAGCGATTGGAGCCACAGATTCAATTAGTGCCCTGGATGAAGGATTCTTTGAATCATCCACTCAGAAATACTCGGTCCCTGGTTTCGCCCTTTGTCACTTGTCTTGTACAAACTGCTAAGTTACTACCCTTCTAAATGAAGTCATTGGGCCGCTTGAACCCATGTTCTCCCCAGAAAAGCCCTCAAGATCCCAAGAGCAGGCTCTCACCTGCGTGCAGCACCAGCATGGCATTCCCATGACCACATTAAAGGAGCGTGTTGTCATCCCGGTTGTTTTTGTTGTTGTTTTTAAGACCCGGCGGGGTAGGCGGCTAGAGGTAGGTTGGCTAGGTAGCTAGCTAGTAGCTAGGGAGTCGCTAGTAAGTAGCTTAAGTAGCTACTAGTGACTGGACGCAGGATAGCAATGCTTCTTCAAGGAAGCTCCCCTCGCCGCCCTAAAGGCAGCGGGGGAAGCTTCCTTGAAGAAGCGCTCGCACTAGTGATTCCTAGATTTTTTGGGAAACTTAACGGGGTAACAAGAAGCTACTAGGGGCTCCTGGCATCGCTACTAGTAACAAAGAAGCTATTAACTTCAGCGGGTTTCAGTGGCGGGATGCGTGAGACAACTCATCAATCCCCAGTCTCTTCCCCTCCAGCCTCCCTCCCACCTCATGCAAGAACTCCTGCATCCTGAAACAAACCCAAGACAAAGACCCAACAGCAAGGTCCGTTTGGCAATGGAGAACAACGCTCCTATTTGTGACATGCCACCCAATGATGGCGTGGCTTTATTGACCGTCTCGGACCTGGCAGGCACTGAGGTGCCAAAGGGATCACATGTCGCAGAACTCATCGCCATCCTCCGCAATCCTCCGCATGGGTTTTAGGGAGAGGAATTGATTTTCCAAGAGGTCCTGAGAGGAGAAAACTGTTGAAGAAACATGAAGAAACATGGTTGCTTGGAATCGTCCCAGTTTGCTTTAAGGAAGAGGTCAATATTAGGTGCCATCATCGTGCAGTGATCTATGGCTCCGATGGAGTTGGACATAGACGAAGGTTCTATGATGTTGTATGGTCTTGCGATTGTCGGTTGTTTTTTCCCGTTTCGCATGCGGAAGAAGGGAGAAACGGCAGGTGATCCTTGAGTCGGGCACAGCGAATGGGCGTTCGACGGAGATGATGGCACGTTTCTTCCAACGGCAACGGCCTGCGGTTCAGATCACCACCGTGGTGCCTCGAAGCAGAATGTGGTTCCACCGGGAATCGGTGAATGCCACAAGTTTAGCTTGTTGGATGTTGCTTATCTCAATACGATTGTTAAAATGCTATAGACAAAGCATAATAAGAACAGCTAAGCGCAATGTTGATGAAACACACAACAGTGGTTCTCCTTGTCGTGAACAGAACAGCTAAGCTAGAATTGAATCCACCTACAACACTCCCGGAAACCTTTTCTGTAAGACACACCTTCCATGTCTCCCCATGTCTCCGTCGCAGACCACCCAGGATCTGGGTGAGAAGCAGGGTGGTCACTGCGCGGCACGCCTCGCCGAGACCCACAAGCGCCTGCGGAAGTTCCAGAACGTCCGCGCGCTGATCGGGGACACTTGGTGAGTTCTGTGGGCGGATGTCGGTCGTCCAATGTCATGCCATGCTTCTCTTGCCGGAATGGGCTCAGGGTGGATGGGGAGTCCCTAGAAACTAATCTTTAACAAAGAAAGTAACAACCAAATACATTGTCATTTGCATACCTAGGATCTTAAGTATCGTGTAGTTAGATCACAACGACAAGGGCAGTCAAGGATAAGTTCCTTTGCGTTATTCCATGTGATTCGTCACATGTTGTCACGGGTTGTGTGGGTTTTGAGCTGTCGTGATCCTGGGTTAAAGGCCATTTATTTGAGGGAAGGACTTTGCGGGGCACCCACGAGCATTGAAGGTGAATGCAAGAGAAACAGAGAAAGAAACCAAGTGTCCGATCATTCAACAAGTTCACGGCCACACTTGTGGTCTTGGGATGTTCGGGGTTGCTGGGTCGCCTTCATATCTCAGGATAGCTTCAAGGAATTTCCCAAGCTGA